ATGGTTTGAAAGAGGAGTGAAAGAAGCCATCTATGTCCACTGTGAGCGAACTGAAGAAGCCTCTCGGATGAGAGGTGAAACGTCTTCAAGTAACTTAAAGAAGTCCAGGCGCTTTTCTTTGCAAGCTCCTTTGACGACTCCAAATGAAGCAAAACTACAGAAATATGGCACAAACTTACAATAAAGGCACAACTACACTAGATATGGCTGCAAAAAGACCAACTCAGTATACAAGATCACACAACCCAACAGCAAAATATACAAATACTAAAGAAGTATGAAACATCCGCAAAAAGATGCAAAACATTCTGTCATCACTTTTTGTCTTCTTCTGTAATTTTGTATGCGTTTTCATTTCAGTAACTCTTCACTGTGGGAGAGCTGGGTCTTCATGTCGATGCCCAGGCCCCGTTATTTCATCTGTACATGGGTGTATTCAATCTAGTACTTTATTAGATGCAATCTTTCAAAAACAGGAGATCAAGATATTAAAAAATGCAGACATAAGACTTTTTAGGCGGAAAACACAGCATGTGAGTCGGCACGCACCCAAACACAGGCCCAGTATAATAATTGATCCATTGATATTTTAATTTAGCCTGTGCCTCAAGGAGGGGTGAGAAAGCTTGTGACTGTGAGGTCACTGGTTCGAATTTCTAAGGCAGCTGAGAAGATCTGCTCGAAGCAGAACATTCAGTGTTACAATCCTCCTTCAACAACACTGCTGGTGAAGCTTTGAGCACCCAGCTGAAATCTTTAGATGCTGCCTGAAGACCGCTGGAGATTTCTCTGCATGGAAATGTTTAATTGTTAAGAAACATAAACCAAATCATTCAAACTCCAAGACAGACCTGACTTACATAAGGGTAAATAATTATTTAAGTGTTTTAAAACTGTGAGCCTGTCATCCCTTCTCTCTTCTATTGTTATATGTTACAAGTTCAGTTTAGTTACATAAAAGCAGCACACAGAAGTCACGCCTGAGGACACACAGCAGGCCTTGTGCTGACTGAGCTGCCACCAGTATATTTTTTTCCTTCCGTGCCTTCTGTGCAATTCAACCTTCAGTTTATTCTGCACAAATGTAAAGATAAAAATTCTTTACATTTGTAGAATACTTGTCCGTATACCTCAAATACTATTTCATTGCTAATCTGATGTTTCAGTTTCTCTCGTGCAAGTCGTGATTCGTTACTAGTAAAAGACTGAAGCAAGCATTACATATGATCAGATAAGATCCTGGATGCTGCAAACAAAACGAAAGATGATAACAAAAAGAGTTTTGCTGTATAAATTTTATTTATAAACAATTATAATTGACTTCAGATGAATCTAAACACCTGTAGTATTAGAAATAAGAATTCTATACAATCACTGATTAGAAAAAGAAAACCTCTCCTAGTTTCAATAAAATGGCATATTTTCCCATGTAGCTTGGGAGAACCAAATTATTTTTTAAAACAATATTAATGCAACAACTTGCAATGAATTATTAAGCCCAGTCTTATCTGTTCAGCAGGTGTGGATATTTACAATTAAGTGATGTAAAAAGACTCGTACCATTTAACTGAACCATACATTATTATATATTTAGAGGCTTGTAGTTTCTCTTCAGAGAGATGAGTTATTTTTAAAGTTCAGTGGGTAAAAGGTAACCTCACAGAGCATTTCTTTGAGAACATGTCTGTGCCAAGGGAGGATCGGTCATATTAAAAATGAAACCCAGTCCTTCAAGGATACGAGTATAGAAGCCTGTAGTGCCCTCGTGTGTCCTTACCCCACATGACAGCTGAAGTGCACTTGACTCGAGCTTCTTTCACTGAAGTTTTGCTTCTTTTATAACCATCTGACCTCTGCTTAATTGAAAGACAAGTTTTGATGACTTTTTATTAATTATAATTTCATTTTTCATACATTTTCCAACAACATACAACTCAAAGTTCCAAATAACCCTCTATTAAAATGAATGATTTTTAAGCTCTTCAATTTTAAGAAAAGGCATCTATTAATGTGTGGCAGTCAACATTTTGCCCTAGTTTACAGCAGTTTCACCTGCTACACATCCTCTTAATGTGGGTCAGTTTGTGGCACAACCAGTTAACAGCTGAAATTGATTTAAAATAAGAAAAAACAAAAACTTTTATACGCCCATCAAAAGGTTCTTTTAAGGTTCTTGTGAGCTTGTGTCTGCTACTACATCAACTAATTATGTTTTTAAATTAAACCTAAAAACCTATGTAACTATTAGGTTAGCCCTCACCCTGACCATGCTTTGTTTAAGTGAGTTGTCCCTACTTACACAATAGATTTAAAACTTACATTAAAAAAAAAAACTCGTGTTCACTTCTATTTAAAGCCATGAAACATTTAACATGCATTTAAGTAAAATGCACTATTTATAAAAACAAATCCTGCTTATCTAAATAGAGAAATAATAAAATACTGATAAGTGAATGTTCATCATTTCTCACCATTGTGTATCCTCCTCTGCCTTCTTGTCATTCAAATAGGGCAGCATCATCAGTAGTTATTGGTAATAAACAGAGCAATATTATTTCAGAGACATCAGACAACTGTGTCCAGTGCATGTGAATACTAATGGGAAATGGTGTGGTGTTTTATACTGTGAAAGTACATTTTAACCTAAACCTGAACCTAATAGTTAGCTTGATAATCAAGCTTAAAAAAAGCTTTGCTGCTTAAACCTAATAAAACAGAGAACTAAACAAGCGAAAACTAAATAGCAGCCAAGTGTGAGGGACAGGTCG